CGATGAAAGTAAAATTTAAACCAAGGCAGCCTGCCACCAGTTTTCTCTAGGGTATCCATTGCTAAATACACCACCAATAGACCACTACAATGTACCAAAATAATATATTTTACATCATAACATGCTTACTTTAAATTTAAAATGACTGAAGCAAGGCTCTATATTTGGCACTAGACCTGCGGAAAAACTGTCTCAAGTATCTAAGTGAATCAAGATTACATCATTGTGAGTGCTGCTCATAATATTTGATTTGTAGGGTAAAAAATAATGAGTATATAAAAACCTTGTACTAATAATACAAATTATTATACATCTGTTGCCGTAATGCCATAAGTTACAGCGTGCTGTAATTTTGCGGTAATGCACTGGGTATTTTCATCCTACCATATTAGGAAATGCAAATTCCAAATATGGAGCGATTATGCACATGAGCATCCTTTAATAATAAAAACAAACATGGCTGCCCCCAGAGTTTGGGCGGACTCCACACAAAAAAGTTTGCTAAATCTGTTCTAAAAGTTTTGGATTTTGCCATTCCCATGATGTATTCTTCGAAAGGAAAGATGCTGCACGTCAGTCGATACTGTCTTCGAACATACTTTACGGTATACTTGTAATAACCTCATACTTTAAAATGAAACATTCATATTTTAAAATATACCACTATAATATCATATTTTTCAATACACCATTTGTCATGACATAAAAAATGCTTTTATTAACTACACCTATGACAGCTTACCTTAGAAAAAAAAATGTATCCACAGAAAAGAATGCATTTGAAATGGCTTGGAACGTGAGTTCCTGTGCAACTTTGGAACCTGTTGCTAAATTATCTGTAAGAATAGAAAGTAAATGCACTCATAATTAGAATTAATGTGTTAATAAGTTCTTATTATGAGTTTTTTTATTTTATGTGGGAATGTGTGAATGAGATTCTATTGCATTGTGGGACTGAGTGAATGAATTCTCTTTGTATTTTTAGAACAATAAGTCATTATTGCTTTGTTGAAAAGTTTTTTTATTGTGAGAATGTGCTATGAGATCACTGTATTGTTTTAATGAGTCAGTTAGTTCCCATTGTATTGTTTTGATGAATCAGTGAGTTGCCATTGTATTGTTTTGATGAATCAGTGAGTTGCCATTGTATTGTTTTAATGAGTCAGTGAGTTGCCATTGTATTGTGAGAATTTGGCAGAGACTTTCCATCATATTGTGGGAATGTGTCAATGCATTCCCATTGTATTGTTTGAACATGCCAATGAGTTCCCATTGTATTGCTTGAATGTGTAAATGAGTTCCCATTGCATTGTGGAAATGTGTCAATGCATTTCCATTGTATTGTTGGAATATGTCAATGAGTTCCCATTGTATTGTGGGAATGAGTAAATGAGTTCCCATTGTATTGTGAAATTGTGTCAATGAGTTCCCATTGTATTGTGGGAATGTGTAAATGAGTTCCCATTGCATTGTGGAAAAGTGTCAATGCATTCCCATTGTATTGTTGGAATATGTCAATAGGTTCCCATTGTATTGTGGGAATGTGTCACAATGAGTTCCCATTGTATTGCAGAAATGTGTCAATGAGTTCCCATTGTATTGTTGGAATGTGTCAATGAGTTCTCATTATATTGTTGGAATATGTCAATGGGTTCCCATTGTATTGTTGGAATGTGTCAATAGGTTCACATTGTGCGAATGTGGGAATGTGTCAATGAGTTCCCATTGTAATGTGGGAATGTGTCAGTGAGTTCCCATTGTACTATGGGAAAGCATAAGTGGCTTTAATGAAGCCATCATGTGCCAGTCATTGGAAAACTTACCCATTGGTGCCATCATGTGCCAGTCATTGCAAAACTTACCCATTGGTACCAACATGTGCCAGTCATTGCAAAATTTATCCATTGGTAAAATCATGTGCCAGTCATTGGAAAACTTACCCATTGGTACCATCATGTGCCAGTCATTGCAAAACTTCCCCATTGATACCATCATGTGACAGTCATTGCAAAACTTACCTATTGGTACCATCATGTGCCAGTCATTGGAAAAACTTATCCATCGGTACCATCATGTGCCAGTCATTGCAAAACTTACCCATTGGTACCATCATATGCCAGTCATTGCAAAACTTACCCATTGGTACCAACATGTGCCAGTCATTGCAAAATTTATCCATTGGTAAAATCATGTGCCAGTCATTGGAAAATTTACCCATTGGTACCATCATGTGCCAGTCATTGCAAAACTTGCCCATTGATACCATCATGTGACAGTCATTGCAAAACTTACCTATTGGTACCATCATGTGCCAGTCATTGGAAAAACTTATCCATCGGTACCATCATGTGCCAGTCATTGCAAAACTTACCCATTGGTACCATCATATGCCAGTCATTGCAAAACTTACCCATTGGTACCATCATGTGCAAGTCATTGGAAAACTTACCCATTGGTACCATCATGTGCCAGTCATTAGAAAACTTACCCATTGGTACCATCATGTGCCAGTCATTGCAAAACTTACCCATTGGTACC